TTTCGACTAAGCACAATACTAGTCAATATAATAGTGGATGATATTAGAAAGTCACAAAAAGATAGATAATATTTCTCATAACTCAACCCCCCCCCCCCCCCGATAAACACAATATTGGTCAACATAATAATGGATGATATTAGAAAGTCACAAAAAGATAATATTTCTCATAAGAGTTTCCAAAGAAAGAATTTGATTTTAGAAAGAATATTAGCAATCTTCCAACCATCTCACTCCTCTCCATACTAAGTTATCCCTCAAGAATCTATAGATACTTTTGAAGGTTGTTATCTCTTGATAGTGAGGACTCCAAACCCAGCACTCATGATCTAATTCAAAGGCTAGATATATACTTGTGATTTTACCTACCAAATGAGAGTGGAAAACACAATTTAGTAATTACATGTTCTAATTTTTGTTCATTATCATATCATATATACTATAGAGATTTATAACCTTATCACAGTTAAAGAAAATAGACCATTTGTTCAAGGGAGTATTAGAGATCTATATATCATCTCATAACCTGATGTTAAAACTAGATCCCATAACTTTTCCAAGGCCTTCTTTGGTATCATGCAAAGTACTATTGATACATTGTCAAATTGGAGAGGCTTTTCTACATAATGAGGCCTAAGGATCAGCACATTTGTATTTAATATTTAGAATTCTAGCCCATAAGAGGTTAAAAGTATTAAGAATAGTAAGCGCTTGGCATTAACAACATGATTAATCAAGTTGATATCTCTTAGCTCAAGGCCACCTTTATCCAGAGGGACTATGATATAATTTCAACTAAGTAGCCTAACTTTCCTATGATTGGTAGTATCTCCTCAAAAGAAAGATTTATTGCATTTAGAGATAGTGTTGGCAAATTTGTTGGTGATCCACTAGCTATCAAGAGGCTATAAGGGTATGAAATTGAGGACAAAGTTAATCAATATAACTTTCTAGCTTAGGACAAGAAATGCTTTTATCACCCATTGATCCTATTGATGGACTTGTCAATAATCTAATTTTGGATATTTGGTGAAATTATGTTGTATGATAGGAAAATCCTTAGATAAGTTAGGGGCCAAGAACCCTCGATGATTATTTTCAATGAGAAAATGTTTTAAAAAATAAATGATAGACTTGTTTTTATTTATATTTAGGCTAGTTAGACTATGATAGAGATTAAGACTCTTTGAGAGATGCTTGCAAGAGTTAGGCATAGCTATAATGGCATATAAGATGTCATCAGCAAATATAATATGAGATATCTTAATGTTTCTATTAGGAAAAGAGTTGTTTCTTTTCTTTTCAACATAATTGTACAAGTGTAGATAGAAGTTATGTGATAACAAACAAATAGGGAGGGATAAGATCACCTTGGTGGATACCTCAAAAGCTTTTGAACCAATTAGTTGTTGTTATTGATCACATAGTTGAATTTGGTTGAAGCAATGTAAGCTCTAACTTAATTAATAAAGATGTGAGGAAAATTCATTTTGCTAAGAATGGTAGATATAGCTATCCATAAGAGGTAGTCAAAGGCCTTTTGGAAGTCAATTTTGATTAAGAATAGAGAATTCTTCCCTTGGAAATTAAACATAATGTAGGTGAGTTCTTGGGCGATAGTGATGTTATCATTAATGCGTCTACTAAAAATGAACGTAGATTATTCTTAATTCATGAGGTTGCATAGGAGAGGCTTGATGCGGGAGGTAAGAACTTTAGAGAGAAACTGATAAATAATATTACAAAGAGCAATCGGACGAAAGTCACTAATTTCAAAGAGGCTCTCACTTTTACAAATAAGAGCAAGGATAGTTTTCGGGATAATAGCATACTTATGGAAGTTATTGAAGGTAAAAACTATGGAATATTTAAGAAGGTACCACAAATGTATGAAAAATTCAATAGTGAATCTGTTCAGCCTTAGGCTCTTTCTTAAGCCCATGATGGGATATAAAGAGAAATAAAATTTTGTATATGAACAAATACTAGTAGGCCATAACACGTAGCGGAATTAAATAGAATCACAATCAAATAGAATACCAAGATTTACGTGAAAAACCCCTCCAATGTGAAGGGTAAAAATCACATGGCAAACTAGAGATAATCCACTATAAAAATAATGAATATATAAATCTCAATCTCTTGCCCAAAACCTAGTAAAAATCATAAGAGAATAACTGAGATACAAGGATCATGTCACTATGCACAATATCCAAATTCTCCCCAAGTAATCACAACAAGAATCTATTGTAGATCTGATCTAACCTGAGATGAGAACACTATCTAGATGATTGAGAACAGCCTCTCTACGTTGTCTTTGTTTTCTTCTCCTCCTTTCTCCTATTTTTTGCCCTTTTCTTCTAAGTTTTGGAATCACATAGGTGCAACAAAATTTTGCCTCGTTGCTATAGTTTTTCTCCCTAAAAAATGCAGCCACCGCACCCCCCTAATTTGGATCTACGGTTTAGAGAAAGGGGGGTGGGCTATGGGTTGTTAAAGTCCACCATGGGCTGAAACTATGGGTTATCAACCCAATAACCTTCCCTTTCAGCCCATAAGGGAGGCTGTCCCAAGACTCCTCAATGTGAACTCATACCGACCAGCTGTCGGCATATCTCCTATCTTTCTTTTAGTAAAGTCTTTGTTAACATATCTGCTC